CAAGATACGGGATAGTTCTAGAAACAAGAGAGCGTGAGAATTGTCACGTGATCTCGATGACGCAACACATCTTTAATCAGCATATGCCCAAGGTAGACAAAAAGTACACTGGCTATAACCGTCAACATACCTGTCAACTCTCACGCATATTGCGTGAGACTCGTGCTCTCATATCTGGTTGCTAAAATCTCACGATTATCAGTGTTTAATTTTTTTTCCATCATATGATATTTGTCATGATATAAAAGACTGTTTCGTTCAGATAGTATTGATAGTTTTTGTGAGTGAATATGTTATTATTGTTTAGTTTTTGTTATAATAAGAGTTAAAAGCAGCTGATTGTAAGAAGTTTTGTTAATAATTCTTTGATGTTGATAATATCGAACGTCATGTGCAATATATTAATATGTTAGAGTGAAACTAACAGTAGAAAAGAAGATAAGAAAAAATAATTTTACTCCGTCAAAGCGTGGTTCTAAAGTAATTGAATCAGCCCGAGTGCACTTTGACAAAAGGAACAGAGGATATTTTGAAGAAAGAAGACCAAACGATTGCGGTAACTCGCGCCACAATTGTAAGTGAATCACAGAGAGTACTAGTGCATAGAAATAGTTAATAGCGTAACTGTAATCTCTCCCCTATTTTCGTTACCACTACACTGGTGCATAGAAATAGAGAAATAGTTAATAGCGTGATTGTAATCTCTCCCCTGTTTTCGTTACTACTACACTGGTGCATATATACAAGACTAGTTATTCCCGCTGTCGGTCACGTTTTCTTCTATCGCCATTTACCACTGTATAGTCCTGGCTGAGGCTCGCCAATTGTCAAAATAAAGTGTTTATTCTTCTTAATGTTATATATAGTAGTAGTATTTAGAAAGTAAGTTGAATAATATGGGTGTTTGGCTAAGTATTATTCTACAGTAGATGTCTGTGACTTATTGGCGATAAATTCAACGTACAGTACTCACTCCTCTTGTTTCCAAAATAATATATATATTCGGAACTAGTTAAAGGTATGTACAACTAATTCTTTACTAGGTTTACACTATAGAGATCATAGGGTCCAGGGCTGCATTAAGTGGCGCAGTTGATCCAGAGCCCCAAGGTGTGAGGGGCCCCTACTAACGATCTGTACCGTCAGTTTAACTCTCTCTTTTTTCTCTGAAACTTTTATCTGTTATTTGTGCTATTCTTACTCAATACAGATTAGACCAATTTGACCGACCTCGTTACCACCATAAAAATACAAAATAAATCAACATTACAATTTTTTATTTCTAGAAGTACTTCAAAATGTAGCAGGAAACAACATTTCTTTACACTAAATAGTTTAAAACTTCTTAACCTTATACAACTGTTTATAATTAAATTTTATTATTATTTTACTGCTAAATACTTTTTCAAATATTGTAGATTCCTCCACCCGATATCTCACACTCAGATCAATTAGCTATATTATTGCCATACGTGAACGAGGAAGGTGATACACAGGAGTATTTTGTCCGTTATGATTCTTCAAGTGTTTATTTGTTTTGAATTTCGTGCAAACCTACAGGAGAGCTATCTTGGGTAGCCGTCCCTAATTTAGCAGTGTAAGACTAGACGAAAAGACTAGTCTTCACCACCCACTTCCAACTCTTGGGCTACTCTTTTACCAACGAATAATGGAATTGACTGTCACATTATAACGCCCCCACAGCTGAAAGGGCGAGCATGTTTGGTGGGACGGGGATTTGAAGTTCTGAGTTAAAACTGGCAGCAATAATTTTAATGTGTCATGTATGACATTACAAATGCTAAAAAAATGCAACTCACTGAAACACTACAAAAGCAAAGTGAAAAACTGTATCATTTATTGAAAACTCCTTTCTACAAAATGTATTTCTCTTATACAGGTATTTTATGGATAATATCATGGCATAAAACTCTCACTTCCTATCTTGGATTATAATAAATTTTGGACTACCAGTATTTACAAATTTCAAGGCAACTTCTCAGTTAATAAAAAATACTTTAGGATACTATACTTAATTCTGAAACTACTGATGCTAAATCAGTACTTTAAATAGTAGGAACATTTTCATATTAATATGTATATATATTTACAAAAACCTGCTAATGAACTAATGTGATAAAACATCATGACTACAACAAGCCCTTAATGAGATTGATGATACATGTTGACAGATCGATGTTATGATC